TTCTGATAAAGGACTATTCTCAAAAACATGCTATGACCTGGAGTGAATTATGTTCCATCTGGTGCTGTGATCCGTTTATAGCACACTCAGCCATCCAAAAATCAAACTACATATCATTTGTCTGCGTGGTGACAGAGTTTTGATAGAACAATCGTCTCTTATCATGGATTAACATCTAATCTAATAGAACGTCCACTATCAGTTCAGCAGGGTCTCATTTAAGGTGTCATATACTGACGCTTTAGACATTTCGTCTACATCCAACGCACATGGCACACTTTAGCATCAATATGAGACCGCATCCTAGTGGTCTAACCCTAACCCTACCCCAGAACTAAACCTACCCATAACCAAAACAAAGCTCTGTGAAATGTTATATTGACGCTAAAAGGGTGCCACGTGCGTTGGATTTAGACGAAATTTCAAAAGCGTCACTATATGACGCCCTAGGATGAGAATGCGTTGATCAGTTTCATTGCTCCACACCAAAGCTTCTGATTTGTGTTGAGCATTTAAGAAACATCAACAGGCAACAGCCCGTTTACTCTCGGCCTCGTGGATATTTTCGACCCGTCCCTGGAGACGGAGCTCAGAGTGTTCTTTTTTCCTGGTCAGGAAATTCATTATTCAAGGTGTATAAACCCCCCATCTGCTGCCTGTCTGGCTTAAACACTGCACTGTCTGTCTGAGCCAGTGGAAATGTTTGACTCCATCACCTCCCTGTAGCAGTGCCACAAATGTCCACACATTCATAAATTCAACATCACCTGTTGTTGATCTGATATTTATCCCTTCAAAGGTATCTAAAACATGGCTTTATCTTGAAACATATCCAAAAACACAATGGTGCATTTCCAGTTAGCATGGCATTATCTTTATTCATGTTTAAAAAGTATGGTATTACCATAGTAAATTGTGGTATTATTATGGTACCATTGTCCAAAAACATGGCAATGGTTTGCATTTTTTGTGTGTGTTTATCAGAATTGTTATACATATTTTATTAGTATTACCATGTTTTTGAACATGTACCGAGGTGTTTTTTTTGGACATTCGTAGGAATGTAGAATTGTTTGTTTTTTTGATAATATACCATTTTAATACTATAGTTTTGTATATGTATGACGATAATGCTTTTTTAAATGTGCCAAGCTAATAGCACAAATGCTGTACAATGGTATATCAAGGTATCATAGTATTATCGTCTGATACTATAATGTAATGTAATGGTAAACAAACGCCATCTCCAACTTAAAATAGTATGTACAAAGTCGGTGAAAATGTTTGTTGTTTTTTTTAAGGCATCAATATCAGCATATAAACTCCTGACTCACCTGGGCACGAACCTCCTCTCAGAAAAGACAAGTTTCTCAGTGAGAGGTTTCTGCTTACAGCGGAAGATATCGATGTAGCCAGCCTAAGCTCCAGAGGAGAACAGGACAGAACAGAAGGAACTCCTCGCTGTGTGGCCACATTGACAAGCAGGGGGCAAATGCAACAGTACAGCTGTTCCTAGTAGACAACACTACAGGGACAACAGGGGTCAATGACCGGTCGCAGCATCCCAAAAGGCCATTTCTATCCGGTTCTAAAGCTTGTGCCACCTAATTACTGAAACCAGTCAGCAATTTGGACGGTGTACATTTGAAATGCCTGTCTATTTCCATCCGATGCAAGGATTCTGAAAGCAGATTGCCAGTTCCCAAGAGTATAGCGTGTGGAGGTTTCCACTTCTCTGGCATTTGAGCACACGGTTCTTACTGTTGCCACATCCACAGGCTGACAACTCAGCTCTTGTCACAGGATTGGATGCATGTCATTTCGGCCTAATACCCATGTCAAATGATTTCGCTGAGGCACAGAGGTCAACAGCGCTGATAAGTCGGGACGAATCGTGATGGATCATTGCCAAAATGAAGCATCTGGAGATTTTTGGGGTGAAAGGATAAGACACAGGTGTTCATTAGCAAGTCAGAAGCATTTGATATGGTCTAATGTAGGAAAATAACTTTCACTTTGCTAATTTTCTTAAAGTTGTGACAGGAATACATTAGCATGCTATCAACTGACTTATTTTAAACTTTATGAAGAATATGTAAGTTGTTACTGCCTATGCGAAACGCACTAAAAATAATAATGAATGAAAGGTAAATCGAAATATTTACAACAACAAAAAACTAACAAAAAATGACAAAAGCACAAGCTTAACTTAAATTAAAACTTAACATAGAAAGCTAACCACAATTACGACATCATATTGTAGCCTATATGATTTTCATGTGATATGCACTACAGTATTTGGGCTTCATGAGTAATGCTAAGCTGTTGTAGCGATTTATTCTAAAATGCTACAAACAATTTCTGCTTCATCATATGACCAAAATCCCCATAAGCAGATCGCAATCATAAACACTCGATGATGGTTTAAAATGAGTTATGAGTAAAAGCGTAGTAGCTATTAATACCAGGAATTATTCATGGTATTAGCTTGATGCTAACTGTAGCCTAATCCTCTGTTACCAGACACGATTTTATTTCATTATGTATGCTGTCAAAAGAATTCACATAAGGTCATAAGACAATGTTTTGATTTCTAGAAAGTCTTTTGAAAATGGTCTATTGGTATATAGAAAAAAATTGATATTTTATGCAGTAAGACGATTAATAAGAGTTACCTGCAGTACTGCGAAGTACAAATGTGTCATGGTAGGCTACAGTGACTTTTGCAGTAATTTCAGTAATATTACTAACATATTCATTAGTCTACATTGCAACAACATCTAGGTCAAGTGCCATTGTTTAAATGCTTTTTTGGCTGAAATTTCAAAGAGCTTCAGTTATTATGCCACGACATGTATCTTCCTGTCAAAATAAAAACTTTTTTTAAGTTTATCGTTTTGAATAGAGATATTTGATATTTACAGTTATATCCGTATATTTTGAAAAACGGTAAAATTTAATCATTTTAACATGGAGCCACATTATATCAATGGGATTTAAAGTCCCCGTGAAATCAAAATTGAACCTATTTACTTTGTTAGCGCATATTACTAGTCTTGTGGTGAACAATTAATCCGTGCAAGTGAATATATATTAAAAAAATTTTTTACCTTAGTAATCTTTAATCAAAATCTGAAAAGTTACTTCCGGTCTGGAACGGTTTCTTTTTCTGACGACGTAGGTTTCACAGTTTGGGTGGGGAAACGCTTAACCACTCCCCTCAAACCGTTAGTTTGCTATGAGCGAGAGATGGAGAGGAGGAGCGCTAGAGTAAAACCCTGCCCTCTGTTCAATATTCCGTTTCACTTGGAAATACGTCACAGCACTGGAGAAAAATCGTTTGCAACTTCCGGTTCACGGGGACTTTAACCAAAGGCCTTTAAAATAAAGATTACAAAAGAAAAGTTTATTAAGAATAAGAATATAGAAGGATATTGACATATCTATACTTTTACAATTACAGGCTCACAGACGTTGGAAAAAAAATTCTATTTATGGCACTCAGGAATGTTAACTTGTGTTGATAGAAAAAAAAACGAGATACATTTCTAGTTTCAACATTATTTGTTCTTCAGATAAGGTACGTGCAACCATTGAAAACATGTACCAATTTACTCATGGAGCCACATTAACATTCCTATATCTCTGAAAATCAACCATATTGGGCCTTTAAAATTAAGAAACCAAAAGAAAAGTTTGTTAAGAATTAGAATTTAAAAGGGTATTAAATTATCTTTAATAGTAACAAGCCTACAAAATTTGAGCCTGGAAACTCTACATGTGACTCTATAACTATGAAACTCTATAAACCCAAATGTGTTCGTGTCTGAGAACCTTTCATACATATTTTTTTTACACATAGGCCTACTTAACTGCAGACACTGCAATGACATGCACTATGTGTACAGAACAAATATTTTGATTGTCCCTTATCATGTCCCTTATTTTCCTATAAGAGAAACACGATTGTCCCTTATTTTCTTCTCCAGAAGTTGGCAACTTACCAACCTAAATAATAGCTGTTTACTTTTGTTGCTTTAACCCCTGACTTGAAATCAAACAATTCAATTATTCCTACAGTAGATTCATATTCATAATCTTTACAACTTGTGAGTGCAGTGATGTCACCATGCAAGAACACTGTTGTCAAATGTAATTAGTATTAGTTACTGCAAAAAGTAATAACATTACTGTAACGTGTTAGTAACCCATTACTGTTCAACACTGAAAATAACACTGATTAGGCAAAAATGATTAGTTAATTGCAGGAAATCGCTTGCAAACACTGCTAATGAGCATAGGGCAGGAGGCCTGAAACATCTCTGCCATGGCAGCGTGCCATCTCTTATTCCCTAATCTTCATTCAAACAACTGTTACACTGAAGGCTGCGAAACTCCATAATCAGGCTGCGTGAATTACCGTGAAATTTCATTCGTGACATTCTGTCAGTTCAATTGTTTTCACAGAGATGATGGCACATCTAAACGTATCTTAGGAAAAATGGTGAAAGAACATTCTGCTAGCTAGGGTGTTGCATGTAGAAACAGTGTGGATGTGGAAATCAGCGGTCTGAAAATGAGAGCTGTTATTCACTCTTACTTTTTTCTTACGTCTTCACGGCTAAGCATGTTCACTACTTTTTGAGCATACAGGAAGGCGATAAGACAAGAGGCTGCAATAGGACAGGAAATGAGTCAAAACAACATCATCTGTGTGTGATATAATCTGTGTTGATGGTGAAGCTGATTTGTTGATCGGCAAGGGAGAAGTGTAATCGTATTTCACTGCTCCTTTTTTAGCATCCCATTTATCGTTCCCTTCACAAACCAGGATCATAAAAACAACCTTATCTACTATATCGACACAGCACGTATAAATAATTTTGCCGTATTAAGTAGATATCAATTACCGCAGTATGAATCGCTGGTAGAGTTAGAACAAGTGGTGAAAATTAATTTCAAATTAAATCAGCTAAATAGTGATTAAAACAGTGACTGAATACAGGTTAAAAACGTCCACATTTAATGTAAAATCTCAATACAGTTTACAAGAAACATTCAGCAAAAACGTAAAGAAGTGCACAACGTTGTTTACATCACGTCAAACACGCCAGATTCTTCACGGAGGCATGCTGTCCTCCACAATAAACCCCAGAAACCTTTCAAACTCCTTCAATATTTTCGTTTAGACAACACACAATTCCTTTCTGCCAGGTCTAATTAAAGCTCCATCTTTTCTTCTCCCTCTGACAGTCCGATAATGATGCTGAATGCCCCTGCCCATGGCATCTGTGTCACTTTAGATGAGCGCAAGCTCGCACGTGGTGTCCCGGGGACCTTTTGCTCTCCAGGCCCGGCTGTAAGAGATCCGAACTCCTCTTCAAGCCTTTGTGCAGTCTGTGGACCGCACTCCCCAGAATCTGTTTGCGACTATAACGCATTGAAATGTCACGTTCATACTTGCTGTGTTTTGTCAGCTCACATGACCTAAATCTGCGTCCAACTGTCCGCTGGATTAATTATCTGTTTTTCAGTTGAATGAAAAGAGCACAGGCAGCAGGATTCGTTGCAGTGAACAATTCCCCAACCCCCCTGACAATGTGAGGCAGAGCAACACAAAAGCGAAATAATCAGAAACGCCGTCAACACCTTCCATTGAAATGACTGATCCAGTGGGATATGAAATAAAAGAGTTCGCGAAGTAATAACAGCGAGTCGCGTTTGGTTTATCGCTGGATCTTTTCGTAGGCCAGCTAAATATTCATGCCACCTACTCATCGATAAAACTCTCTATACTGAATCTCCTCGCATAATAACGAAGAAATGAATTACATTCACATGTTAGAATATACATATCCTTGAAAAAGTATAATCTTATATCTGAGAGAGCTCATAATGTGGCTTTTCTCCACGAGGTAATGCAGCAGACACGAGAACAGTTCAATAAAAGAGCAAGAATTTTTGCTTTTTCTTACAATCACCACTTTTCGTTTGACTTTTCAGTGTCCGTGTGTATATGAAGAAAGACATATTCTCCTGAAATAAGTCAGAATCTGGACTAAACTAATCTGGACGCCTCCAGCGGTGATGTCCTCTTTGTAAAAACCTCTCATTTGAGTTTGGGATAGAGGTGACCCACTTTTTGAATTCCTCCAAGACTTGTTCTTGGGGTGGCGGCTGTGTGTTCTGTGTTGATAGCATGTCTCCATGAGCTTAAGAAAATGGTTGTGGGTCTTAAGTAGCATTTACATAACACTGTTATATAATCTGGCCCTAATGCTATGAAAGTGTTTACAAAAAAACAATATATATTGTGATCAGAATTATAGTTTTAATGCACCAATACTCTCACTCCCAGAGGATTGGTTTAACATTATTTTGGTAGGGAAGCAAGATGATCTGACACCTGATGAATCCTCATCATGTCTCCTGCATGTCAATCTCATGCTTCAGAAAGCCTCGTCCTCTTCAGCGTAAAGCTTTTGAAACAGAAAACGAGTTGTTATAGCCGAGGGGCAGTGAACTAAGAGCATGATTCATATAGCGCCGCTTCTGTTCTTGGGATGTCTCACACCACGGTGGTCTCAGTCTGTAGGAAAGACTGGGCTCTGGAGTTACGATGGAATTGGGCCATGTTTTCCGTGCCATTTCTGGATATGGACGAACTGTGCAGACGGTAGTCGCGGCCGATGTAGCGCTTTAAACGCAAACTTCGCCACTTTCTCTTGAGTTCGCTCTGGACCTGCAGAGCAGTCAAATATAAAACCCATTATCATTAGCACAGCATGGTATGTCAACATGAAATCAAAATTGAAACAATTTAAGCACTCAATACACATTCCTTGACACATTGTAATTAATTTATCAGTGCAGTTATTTCAAACAAAAATACTTGTCTTTGTAATTTATTCATCACAATGTAATTACTTTGAAAAAACTGTCACCAATCCCTCTTATTTTTTAAGCCCTCACTTCGAACAACATCATTTAGACAACTTTTCATGATTCAATCAATCCCAAATTGATAATATAGGGCCCAGCTTACATTTTTTCAAAGATTATCCTCAGACATTTCTTACATAATTGGCTGGATTCTCAGACACAGCTTAAGCTAGTACCAGACGAAAATGCACATTTGAGTTGTTTTAACTGTAAGCAACTTGCACTGACATATTAAAGGGATACTCCACCGTTTTTTTCATATTAAACTGTTATTCCCTTAACTAAGACGAGTTGATACATACCTCTGTCGTCTCAGTCGCTCTGGCGTGCGAGACACTTTGGTAGCACTTAACTAGCCCAGTTCATTCAATAGAGGCCAAGCAGAGAAGCGACCAAACACCTCCACGTTTTCCCTAAAAAGCTCAACGTTTTATTTTGTGACACCGTCCTAGGTCGAGTTACACTACTCATGTAACTGTATTTAAATAGGAAAAACGTGGAGGTGTTTGATCGCGTCTCTGCTTGGCCCATATTGAATGAACTGGGCTAGTTGAGTGCTATCAAAATGTCTCGTGCACCAGAGCGATTGAGTACACGCACTGAGACGAGAGAGGTATGCATCAACTCGTCTTAGTTAAGGGAATAACATAGTTTAATATGAAAAAACGGTGGAGTATCCCTTTAAAATAGCCTAAGCCGCTTCTGTGAAACAGACTCCAATGTGTTGTGAACGTTTCAAATTGACTTTAACTAGGAAGGAATACTACGGCTCTGTTCCAAAACCTAGTGAACTGCCTGAGGAGGAGATAGCATTTTAAGGCATCATAGGCATGGAAAAGAAGGGTGCTCTGACTAATCATATTGCCTTTTATGATACTTTGTTTTTACCAAATTCAAAGGCAAAATCCAATCCTAGAATGCATTGCTACAAACGAATAAAAAATGGTGTCCAAGGCGAGAGAAATGTTGATTATAAATAAAGAATGTTTAATTTGATATAAAAAAGCATTGCTAAAAAACGTTCAGTGAAATTAAAATGTATTTATTTAACCCAATAATGTGTGTGTGCTATGCATTTTAATGCTTATTAGAATATCTTGCTTATCTAAAGTGTTCCAAGTGACTCACGATATGTCGATAAGATTGATAAGATTGCACACTGACCTCACTATTCAAAAAACAATACAAAATCGCAACCACCAAGCCCTGTGAAAGGAACATAGAGAGTTAATGTGGTACAACATTAATAAAGCATCATATTCCATTTAAAAATTTGGAGTCAAAAATTAAAAATTGTGGAGTAAAAGAGTAAAAAATTGTTTTTGAAAGAAGCATTAATCTACTTTATTATACTGTATACTATAAAACTTATTCCTGTGATTGCAAAGCTGAATTTCCAGTCGCAAGAAACATATTTTATTATTATGAATAGAAAGTTCAAAAGAATAGCCTGTATTTTAAATAGAAATATTTTATAAACCAGACACTATAAATGTCTTTAATGTTACTTTTGATCAATTTAAAGTGAACAGGGGCATATTCCTCACCTGAAATGATCCCAGGCCAAGGTCAAAGAATATTTTGTAGTTTTCCATCTCTCCATTTTCTTCTATGATGTAAACGAAAACAACATAGTTGATGCCAAAGAGAGGAATCAAGAGAAGTGTGGATTTGGCCAACCTCCTGAAAACAGAAAGAGGAGTAACAGGATTTTTACGGAGTGATAAGGGTTATGATAGCATGGCATTTTTTTGTCAAATGGAGATTTACCAAGCATACAATGGAGAGCTCCAAACCAAAATCGCAACTTTAGAAGAACAAAAAGGGAAATGTGCATTTGAGAGAGCCATCAAATGCACAACAGCCTCTCATGCATTAGCAACAGGGCATTCAAACAGAACATGCCACTCTCAGCAGAACAAAAACTCAGATCGCTAAAAATCACGACATAAATATTTCACCCCCATTTCAATGCAAATATATTTAGCACCGCACAAGAGATAAAAATGGAAAGCAGTCATCCATTTCCATCTATTTTTCAGAGATTCATGCTAGAATGCTACTCCTGGTAAATTTAAAAGGGAGATCTCAGCTATGACCTGAATAGCACATAAGAGGATTTAAACATGGTGGCTGATGCCATGTTTGCAAAATAGAATATTAGTTGGCATCCATTTGCTATACCTGTACTGAGACTGATCGTTTCCACCAACATCGGGACACCTCAGTTTCTGGACCAGGATTCGAATGATGCTGATGAACAGAATAAAGTTGAACTGTAGAACACAGAAAGGAAGAGAACAAGATTTTATATCATTTCTCTTTTATACAATGACATTCTCCAGACTAAACATTACCACTGAATCCTGTTCACTGGATCTGACACAAGAAGATCTCAAAACATTCAGTAAGACTTGAACCAGATTACAGGATTATTGCACACACTGTAACACGTGAAAACGTGCAGTTGCTGCCTTAAAGGAACAGTTCATCCAAAAATAAAAATTCTGCCGACATTTACTCATTCTCAAGCTATTCTAATCCCATATTACTTTCTTTCTTCGGAGTAAAAAAATGACTCAATGACAATATTTTTATATCTTATGAAAATGATGACAGAACTATCAATTTTGGTTGAACTGTCCCTTTAAGGAGTTGATCTGGCTTTTAAAATAACACTACAAAAATAATATCATGTGTTTGATTCTTAGAAAACATTGAAAGCACTAAAAAAAAAACAAATCGGGATTTGGTCTGCCAAATGCATAACATCAAATGTAAAATGATCATCTCTGATTTCCATCTTGCTTAAATCCATCAGACAGATAGTAGAAACAAAAGAGGGCACCTGTTTCTGTTCCTCATATTTAATCCTGCCATAAAAACCCAAACCAAAACAAACAGAAAATCTTGGCCAAAGCTTCATCGACCAGAGGCATTCTGGGTAAGAGAGACATAGATACATGATAGATGGTGCTCTGTGAGAGTTATCGAAACACATCCTCGGCTCCAGAGGGCTGAGGAACATTTTGACCTGGATGTGTTCAGGCAAAGCTGTCAAACACAGCCATCACGCTGTCCAAAGACATTTGATCTTTTGCAGGTGAGGGTTTATAAAATGGAAATGGCACATCAGACTCAAGAGAGAGTCCTGGCACGTGTGCTGAGAGAGGCACTTGTGACAGCATGTTTGCTCGCTCTTCCTGACATGCCTGCGCTCACGTCTCATCCAGGAGATGGAAACTGTCCGTGAGACTCAGCACATCCCCGTGTCTGCTTTGCTGGCAGAATCCCTCCCTGCCTGACATAATGCATACAGTATGAGGCTGGTCTCAGTGGGTTTATAAGTACTGGTGTGAGGTTATACTCACAATGACAGATGCCATGATTGGCCAGTTGATCACCCGCCAGGGAATCGGAGCGTCATTTCTCTCCCAGCATCTATTAAGAGACGCCATCAAAGAGTTACAAGTGCTTTCATAACAGGAGTAGCAAATGGGAATGCGTTTCATCTTCTTTTGCCTCATTTAAATCTCTCAGGTTTAAATATCCGCTATTAAGAGTCTCATGTGAGTTCTGTCACCGTCTGATTATGCTGTGCTCGACTGCTCACCCTGTGTCCTCGAGGTAAATCCTACACACAATCCATGGAATCACAAACACGGTGGGGAATCCTGGGGGAAGGAGAGGGAATGATAAAATATCAAGAGACTTTGTGCTGACATTCCTTTATGTGTAATCAATGTAAATATAGTCTAGAGAGAGAGAAAGAGAGAGACAGACAGATAGACAGACAGACAGGCAGACAGACGGAAAGACAGACAAACAGATGGAAAGACGGACAAACAGACGGAAAGACAGTCAGACAGTCAGACAGACAGATAGACAGACAGACAGACAGACAGAAAGACAGAAAGACAGACAGACAGACAGACAGACAGACAGATAGATAGATAGATAGATAGATAGATAGATAGATAGATAGATAGATAGATAGATAGATAGATAGATAGATAGATAGATAGACAGATAGATAGACAGACGGAAAGATAGATAGATAGACAGACAGGCAGGCAGATGTAAAGACAGACAGATAGACAGACAGATAGACAGGAAGACGGAAAGACAGTCAGACAGTCAGACAGACAGATAGACAGACAGACAGACAGACAGAAAGACAGAAAGACAGACAGACAGACAGACAGACAGACAGATAGATAGATAGATAGATAGATAGATAGATAGATAGATAGATAGATAGACAGATAGATAGACAGACGGAAAGATAGATAGATAGACAGAAAGGCAGGCAGACGGAAAGACAGACATATGGATGGATGGATGGATGGATGGATGGATAGATAGATAGACAGATAGACAGGAAGACGGAAAGACAGACAGATAGACAGGAAGACGGAAAGACAGACAGATAGACAGACAGACGGAAAGACAGACAGACAGACAGACAGACAGACAGACAGACAGACAGACAGACAGACAGACAGACAGACAGACAGACAGATAGATAGATAGATAGATAGATAGATAGATAGATAGATAGATAGATAGATAGATAGATAGATAGATAGATAGATGATCTATCTAAAGATGACTTTGTCCTGACATTCCTTTATGAGTAATCAATGTAAATATAGGCTAGAGAGAGAAAGAGAGAGATAATGAGACAGACGGAAAGACAGACAGTCAGATAATGAGACAGACAAACAGACAGATAATGTCATGTTAGGAAACAGCATCTCTGCTCGGACACCTGCTGAAAAATCTGTTAGTTGAGTTTCCTGTTGGGAGGTGGGCCACTATCTCTAGACAGAAGAAGAGCTGGAGAGGAAATGCCGGTAAACAGAACATGATTAAAGAGGCCATGTTAGTCGTCACTGTCATGATGAAAGAGAAGCTTAATGAGGTGTTGATATGATGAGTCTAGCAAGCCACGCCCAAGCCTGTCCTCTAGAAGTGAATGAAGATCCTGCTCTCCTTTCTCTCGCCTGGAAACTCCAGGGACGCAACAAACTACAAAGACATACCGTACTAATACATAATGTAAGACAAACAGCCTGAACAAGACCAATAGCACGTCATGTTGTTCCCTTCGCTGTTTTTCCTCTGAGTAGTGAGCGACATCTATTCAGAAGTGTTTGAATGAATTAAGGAAGAGACATTCAGTGCTACACCGTGAAGAGGTGTGTGTTCTCAAATGATTTTCTATGCACGCATCTGTTCATGTCAGACGGGATGAAAGCAAACGCATTAAATGCAGTGGGAAGTGGAACTTTCCTAGACTTCAGACTCAAATGATCCTTTATTTACTCAAATACCTGCTTGAAAACACTGACATGAAAAGCATTAAAAGACTGAAAAGTAATTCAGAATTGATTGTAAAGGTTAACAAATGATTTTGGAAAAAGAAAACAGCTCATAAAGGTCAGTGGTAGTGTTTCAAATGAAGACTCACCCCATCCAATGAGGAGATAGATGATGAAGTGTCTGTTCTCGGAGAAGATGACCATCAGTAGGGTATGTAGGTACAGACCTTCCACCAGCAACCAGTAGAAGTTTGCCATGATGAAGTAGTTGAAGATGATCAGGCTGGCCTTGCAACCAATCTAAACACAAGCACAGAGAGCTGCATTGTGAACTACAAATCTGTGGGACAAGCAAATGTGTAAAGATTTGGGGTTTTAGGGTCAGCGGTGACAGAAATAACCACCTTTTAAAACTGATGAAGCATAAAATGTGTTTAGTTGACTATGCATGTTTTGGCTTAGCTCAGTTCAGACCCTTAAAGGTGAAGTGTGTAATTTTTTCGATGTTTAAATACTGTCTCATATCTCAGTTTAATGTGCTCAGACAGCTGAAAGTAAACCATTTGTAAGGTTGGCTTCCTGAAAAGTATTAGCCCCTTCAAACATTGCTGTGTTTATTTGATCTGTCTGAGATGCCAACTTCTGGTTTAATGCTTTGAGATTGAGGTTGGGATTATGGGGTGATGTGGTGTTGGGAAACAATTAGTACTTTTAGTTGTTTTGTGTCACTAGTTGTGCAGAAATTACAGAGTACTGTTCAAAAGTTTGGGGCTGGTAAGATGTATGTGAATTTGTGAAACAGTGACGTCATGCGCATGCAGAGCTGCCAACTTTTCAGTTTAGCTTGGCGTGAGACTTCTCCAACGGTGGATGATGGAGGCGGGGGATGGGGGATGGGGGGTTGGGTTGCCTCTCGCTTACCTCTCTGCCGTCGTGCGCGGTTAGGAGCTCAGCCTCTGTCTCGCATGCACGCTCACTCTAGATAAGATTACAGGATATTTTAACTAATTTGCGGAAAAACTAGTCAATCGCCAGTGCCTAAACAGATAGACCTATAGATAAACTCATCTTTCAGGCTTGACACATCAGCGTGAGAAATCAGGAGTGTGGCGTGAGAACTGGCTCAATTGCGTGAGTCTCATGCTGAATGCGTGAGAGTTGGCAGCCCTGCGTATGCTTCAAAGTGACGTTTTAGTCGTTTGCGCGGATCTATGTGAATTTTTGGTATATTATTGCAATGTAAACGTACCCTTAATTACATGAATTTACTTGTGGATCTTCTGTATGGATGGAGTCACTCACCAGTGATGGCTCCGTTGTACATTCTACGTTCTCGTGGGAAAACAGAATGGCATCTTTGACCAGCACAGCGATTGCCCTCAGTATGAAGGAGAAGAACAGGTTCAGATGGATGTAGTTCCTGGTGCAGTGGAGTTTTCTGTTGGAGCGTGACAGTACTGTAAATAAACCTGGACTCTTTCTATTTTAATTGTACGTATGGTTAGTTTGTGAGAAAAACGCAAAGATGTCTTAAGCACGGTTCCATTCATCACATCTCCAGACGTATTCTTAAATTAATAATTTCATTCCAGCAAGATAAACACTATCGGGGTAAGCCGTGCGCCAAGCATAATGTTTATCCTCAATGTCAAAAAGTTTAAAATATAGTCGTTCAGAAGCCTGCCAAATGATTACAATTAATATAAGGCAGGCTCGTCCATCCATACAAAGTGTGCTGTAATATAAAGCAGACTCAACTACTGGAACTATTTAAGACTCTGTTTCAAACCTGAACAGACAGAGGATGGTGCTGCCGGTGATAAGTGCGATGAGAGAGAGGCTGTGTCCGAGTGTGTAAAGGGCCTTCATCACCGTGTAGAAAACAAGCTGGACAGAGAGAGAAACAGAGTGTGAGAAACACTTGTATTTGCATTTGATTAAGACATAAAATTCAGTGATTCACTCCAAGGCATGTACTTTGTCTGAAAATAAAGTTGCCTGATTATTGTAAGCAAAAAAAGATGATTGTAGGTTGGCCTACTGTAAAAGTTTGTCTACATTTGGCTAGTTTAATCATGTTGCACATTTTCCAGAACATTTCAATTCTGTCATCGCCCACCCACGCTCATGATGCATAAAAATCATTCTTTTTTTCCCAGTAGAACAAAATGTCAGGGTTGCAATTTATACATCATGATCACACATAACAGAAAGGCATGATTAACACCGGCTGTCCAGTTGCGATTTCACTTCATTAAAAATAATTCTGTATGACCATTTTACTTAAGCTGGGTTCACAGTTTACGATTTTTGCCACGATTTGGCCGTTTGAGACAAATTTTGCAAATCCGAAAAGATTTCTCTTATCCTAGGCAAAAATCTGAAGTCTTTGTAAAGAACTATTATAAATCGCACAGTGTGCATCCGGAAAAAATTTAATCTAAATGAATATATTAAAATAATATTGGGCTACATGATGAAGTTAAGCACAATCTGTAACCCAGACTATCCCTTTTTACATGGTGACCCTGATTTCACCAAGTGCAACTTGTTCCTGGATCAACATCTTTGTTGATTCTGAAACAACATTCCAATCAACCAATCAGATTTGAGAGACAAGTTTACACTTTGTCACATTTAAGCTTACAACCAGTGTTAGGTGCTTCTACATCAGTGCTATTCACCGATCATTCCCCTCTGATTCTGGGTAGGGTTAGGGCTAGGGATATGATTAGGACAAAATTTTCAGACAGGAATGTCTGAAATACACTTGTAGATGAACAAATACGCTTTTGTAAAATAACATCACATAACAAGGATCACAGGGTGAATAATAACCTTAGAAAAGGCTTTTTGGACAGGCAGCTGCTTGGCGGTGGAAGAATGATGAAGCTCAGACAGATTCATCCCCCATAAACAGCATTCTTTCAGTCTGACTTACTACATGGCACACTGGAGCCAGAGCACCCACTCATCAACATTACCAACACCAGGAACATTCCTCCTGCACTACTTTAAACATAAAGCTGAAAGAAACATTCAGGGAAATTCTCACAAATTCACCGTTAGATGAATATTTAACAACTTTTGGTTTATCTGTACGTTAGAAATGTTTTGTCTGCGTGCGTGTTTTTTACTTTGGTTTCAGAGCAGTGATACATTCGTGACTGTATGACATTACAAAAATAAAAAAAAACATATTTATAGTGTATATTTTGTGTATTTGATAAATAAAAAGTTTGCACTCTTTGAATAATTTGACAAAATTATTGGAAAAGACAAAAATTAATTCATTACATTTTTTTTATTATTTTATTAAGGTCACAATTGGCCAAAGTATAATGCATTTAAATAATATATTTATTCATTTATATATATATATATATATATATATATATATATATATATAAACTCCCATATCAATACAGAAGTAAATCTATTGGTTGACATTTCTTTTATTGTGCTATCTTTCATACTAGGTCTACAGGTTAACTGCTGTAGCGGTTAAAAGGAGGAGACAGAAACCAGCCTCTGTGCTGGCTTTAGATGAGATGAGGGATTGTTTCCTTGTCCAGACAGTCTCTTATTTATTGTTGGATGTGATATGTGTTTCAGGGAATGCCCATGGAAAACTTCTGGAGAACTTCAGATTAAAAGTGACACTAATATAGCACTTGGACCTCAATATGCGGTGCAAGGCCTAGGAAAAGGTGAGCATTGTTTAGACGATGTCTAAGTAGTCTATTTAGACTTTTTTAAATGTTAAAATACTAGGTTGATTATCTTAAAGTGCACTATCAAAAGGTGCTCTGCAGTATTTCATCCCACATAGCAATGCTAGCTCTACAAATGACACGAGTTCCAGGGGCGGGATTATTTGATTTTCTAACCAATAGCAGATGATGTTTGAAAACTGTTTGAAAACAGTCATAAATTGAAAAATTATTCATTAATTATTTAATAATCATCACTTTAATTATAAGTGATGCTTTTATAAGCCTCTGTCTCCTCTAAAGTGATTAGTAAATGATTACATTTGAATACAACCTTCAGTCTAAAGTACTAATTTAAGGGTGAAAGACAAACCGGTCTATCCGTACATCAATCAGGCAACCCTAAAGGAATAGCAGGTGTCCCTTTAAAGAGAATCATTATATCACAAGTTTAGAAAATCAATGTCCAATTTAATCCATCAATGGACTTGTCTTAATTTCTTTGAAGGAGCCTGGGGCAGGACTTCTTTGAAACGAAGCAGGATGGGACTCAAGAAATCAGGTTTTAGAAAGGTTTGACTCAAGGTCGATCAGTGTTCTTACTAACGCCTTAGGAGAACGACTTCAGTCATCTCTGCTAATTTCCAAGAGAGAACTCTTTGAGGATGGGAATGTGCCCTCTGCTACTGTCTATACCCTTCAGGAAATTGCTTTAATGTTTCATTTCCCCTAACACGGGATGAGAATGAAAAACAGCGAACTGTCCCCTCATCGCTCAAACGAGCAGCGCAGAGTCAACTGGGCACCATGCCAAACACTGCTGCCAACCATCTTACCGCGGAGCACGTGCTGAACTCTGGGTCATGTCAAAAGTCCATTGACCAATGTTGTGATGGAAAACATTCCTAGGGTGACGTACTGCCTCTCTAAACATTAAAGAACAATACGCAAGTACGATAAAACAGGATTTTCCTAACTCTTTTGAAATGAAAGTGATTGTACGGGCCACTCTCATATACGAGGGTGTTTATCCCATCAAAGTGATTAGCCAATGATAACAGAGCTCATTTACATATAGTGTTAAAGGTGCAGTAGCAAAACCATCCTGTTTAACTTTGCTTTAGAAAAACAGTGGAAAAAAACTTGACTAACATAAAACTTGCTTAAAGTAAATCAAACTTTTCATTTATTTAAACCATTCTATTACTGTAGACAAATATACACAGTTTAAACGTTTTCTTTAATTCCGCAAGGATGCATTAAGTTGATCAAAATTGACAGTAATACGGAGCCCCCCTAGTCCCACAAAAAAAATAAAAAATAATTATAACTATCTTGTGGCCTCAAGACACTAACTCGTGGCCTCAAGACACTATCTCGTGGCCTCAAGATACTAACTCGTGGCCTCAAGACTCAAGATACTAACTCGTGGCCTCAAGATACTAACTCGTGGCCTCAAGATAGCAACTCGTGGCCTCAAGATACTAACTCGTGGCAATATTAATCTTAATTTATTTTGCCAAAGTGGGACTAGGGGGGCTCCATACAGTAAAGACTTTTAAATTGTTACAAAAATATACATTTCAAATAAATGCTGTTTATTTTCAAATAATCCTGAAAAAATTGGAAAAAAGTTTGGTTACAGTTTATTTTTTAGGTGACATATAGTTGCATTGTACATGTACTATAGAGTTATGGTTAGGCATAATTTACTGTTATTAGTACATGTAACGTGTAACTATGTTTAACGTTGTCAAACTATGTTCGCAAATGCTACATTCACCTCCATCCTCCCCACCATCACCAGGATGGTCCCTTTCCCATACCTCCCTGGGGGTTTGGCTGCGCCCCTGCCTTCATCTTTAGGCAGGAAATTCAGATTTCATACCCTCGGATTGCGACCTACGGACGGGGCAACGCCAAAGAACTTTATATCACAATACTTCCTTGCTGGGCAGTTAATAAACGCATGCTTGTTACATTATTTTGCCTGCCGAGTCTTTATGGTAGAAATGTTTCTTGAGCAGCAGTTTAGCATATTCGGAAGGATCATGTGGAGTAATAAAGTTGAAAATCCAACTTTGCATCACAGGAATAAATTACATTTTTAAATATATTAAAATAGAATTTATTTTTGAAATTTTAACAATATTACACAATATTTAAGGGAACTTCCTGGAGGTGGTGGGGAGGATGGAGGATATATATATATATATATATATATATATATATATATATATTTTTTTTTTGCAGAAACCCATTTCCACTTCAGTCTACTATACAAGAATCAAACCATTGCTTAGATGTCAAACAGGTTCTAATGAAATCCAGTTTAAATCCAATTTATATACTGGATCATCCCGTTTTTGTGTCTATAGCCTCGGTTGATTTGCACCATTTCAAGGCTGCTTTAGTCACTGCATGCATCTCCTTTCAACATTTAGCCGATGATTTAGGCCGATGTGTCAGCATGCCTGCTCTGATCCTTGGTATCACCTCAAGTCGCTCTGACAACTCACTGCGCTTCAGAGGACTGATTATCCAGCCATAAGAGGCGTTTGCCCTCGCTGCTGGAGACCACGCTTGTCCACAGACACTCAAAACCACACGGTCATGACAGGGTAAAGCAATATAAAACGCATAAAACATGTGCTGACATTTTTATAGAAAATCCTTCTAAAAAAAGCGGATTTCGTTTCAACTTTCTTGAGTTATAGCAGGTTTGAGTCCTGTCATCTTCAAGTATTAGTTTTCTCTGAAATACAATATTCCTCCTGGTGCAGTTTAATGTCAGTTTGGTGTACAACCAAGACTAACATTTCAGCATCATAATTTATTAAATTCTACAATCTTACATTCAAAATGCATTGGCTGAACTTTCGCTCTTGCCAACTGACTTCTGTTAATCTGGGACATTAATTTGTCATAATAACTTAAAAAAATACTTGTATTTAAATCCTTATTTGGTTTTTGTGTTGAATGCTCTTCTTTCCCTCAGACGGCTGTCTAAGTTCGAATGCAGGGGAGGTTTCATCTGATTATGTTGGAGATGTTTATTTTTTGTTATTGATGTTTATTTTGTATTTTTTGGGGATGTTTAATTTTTTCCATATGGCCTAACATACAATGACTCAAGCTTAAGGTTCCCAACGTTCCTATCGTTCTCTGCATTCCCAAGGCTCCCTGCCCCTATAAAACAGCACATATCTATTAAGAGCATTTATTTGATAAACAATGCCATAAAAAAACTTAATGATGCTACAAATCTAAAGGCAAAACAGGTCATGGGTATGAATTAAAAACATCTCATGACTTATGTTTTGACTAAAGGCTAACAAAAATTAGATTAGACATTCTTATTAGGGAGAGTTTAGTTCATTCCCCTGTAATGGCAACAAAGAGAGAACATAATGCCATGTTCAGGTGTTTCACTATATCTTATGAATAAATGTAAAATAAGCCACAGTAAGTTCAGTTACAGCTCAAACTCATTAGTTCATTAATAGGAAAATCAGTAACTAATATTTTCAATTAGGCGGTTTAATCTGAGGAACATTGTGCTTATGTGTCACTACATGGAGTTATGGAGGGAAAACATGTTTTAGGAAGCTTTAGATTATGCACATCATGACTGATGTTGCTGGCTTATACTTTCATTTTTGTATTTGTTTATTTTATTTTTAAACTTCTTGAATGTTCGCCGGTTCCCGCCTCCTTCTTCCCACAACAACTGAACCTGTTACAATCACAGACCCTGTTTTATGTGAATTAATACAACTCTAGAAAGGAAGAAAAACAACATTTAACCACCCCATATATAACACTTGTAGAAAGAATGAATGAAAACTCCTAATGATTCAGTTCAGTCCTCCGCTCTGGCAGTCTGCCATGCTTTGCCATGCTTTATTTCCCGCAGAGATTCTCTCCAATCAAGTAGCTCATGATTATTCATATCTCTAAAGCACAATCACAAGATAAAACTGTAAATTTCACAGGCGACTGCCGTTTCACAACAACCTATTTAATGGACGGAGAGAATACAGTGTTATTAAGAGAAACATTACATGTTACTGGACATTTATATATAGGCCTATTTATATATTCTGCCATAAAAGAACAAAATCACCTCTCTGCTCTGATTCTTTTATCATCTCATTTATTTATTTTTTGGCTTTCTGGCACTCTTTTCAACTTCAAACGCATCTAAAATCATTTGTCTCCAAATTTGGGATTCTGATAAGAAATATAATACTGAGAGCAATTTAGTTGAAAGCCTATGAAAATACACTTGAGCCAGCTGTTCGCTTTCTTTTAAAACTCTAGTGCTTTCCACGACTGTTTGCCTCTGTCAGACACACGCATGAACACACACATGCATCCATGTACGCGCTCGCATCTCCAAATGCACACAAACACGGTCTCTGCCCCAAAGGTAGTCCCAGCTGGCAGAGATGCAGGCACTAAAAGGTTCAGGGACCTGAAATGTCCTCAGCGTACACACACAGTGGTTATAACACATGTGGAGAGAGAACAACAATGCCTTTCAGGCAAAATATCTTCCTTTACCACTGCCATTCATGCATAGCTCCTTCAGGATAGTTAGAGCAATGATCCTAAATACTGTGTACAATCAAAAGTCCCATTCAGATGGCATCTGTTTTCAGGACAAATGACTGTAAAGTAGTTCTGGGAAAGATCTGACTGCATAAATTCAGTCACTCACTGTAACAATAGGAACTATTGAGAAACACTCACCTTGGTTGCATTCGGGTTGGGCTCAAAGCAAACGCTGTGGATGCTGGGATACACGTCGGACCAGCCTTCCATAGTGCAGTTCCTGCTAATGATCCCTAGAACAAACAGACATTGCTTCGTTAACAGCCAATTTATCAGATTGATTAATGGCAATTTAGTCTGACAACGAGCATTAGTGAGTGTTTTGGTAGGTAACGCTTCACAGCATTGCACATCGCAGAAACACCAGAGATATCTGAGAAAGCTTAGAATCGAGTGAAGCTCAAAAAAACTTGACAAGAAATGTTTTAACCAAATTCAAAAGAAAAAAAACACACAATATTTTGCATATTTTTAAAAAAATGTTCATGATAATTAAATGCATTCTCTCACGTTTTCTACAGTTATTTTCTTATATTTAAACCAAAAATATTGTACACTACCATTAAAAAGCTTGGGATCAGTAAGATTAATTCTATTATTCAGCAAGAATGCATGCAGTGACCGTAAAAGTAAAAATTATTTAGAATTACAGAAGATTTCAATTTCTCAGTTGTGTTGACTAAAAACACTTAAATTAAAATCAGCAGTAAAAACTAATATTGCCGCACAAATACTTTCATATATATATATATATATATAATATATATATATATATATAATATATATATACAGTATGTATTTGTTTACCATATTTTTTAAATTTGTATTATTTTACCATAAATATTTTTACATTATTTAAAATACATATGGTATTTTATATGATTACTACTATAACTACTTAAGTTGTGTTAATGAGAATATTAAATTTTTTTATTATTTTGGTAATGAGAACAAGGGGTTTGAATGGGCTTAAATGTAATGATGATAACATTGCATGCAATAAAATTTATTAAAATATTGGTCCAAAAATATCCTTAATTTTCTTAAAAGGAAACTGTAATGACTTACATTATTATATATCTGAAATACATCTTTATTCTGTGTCCAGCCTTTCTCTTTAGGCGCAATTACCATTACATTTCCATCTACATGTACTGCACTCACTCATTATACTTGTAAATCCATATGGCAGTGATAATGGAATAGTTTTGCACATCACTGATGCATTCAGTAAAGGCTGAGAGGCAGAGGCTGAGTGTGAAGTATAAATACAGTATATTTGTGTTTCATGCACTAAAGTATCTGCGTGTAGGCTTGTTAATCCTCTCAGTAGCGATAACAGCCTCCTACGCGTTGCACGGCATCAATGACCACCATTACACCTGGAGAAGAACAGCTGGCAGGCTAACAAAGTGTACAGTACATGAACACATTTACACATCAACCAAATATTATAACACCCAAGTCCAAGTCCTTTCCAAGAAAATAAGTAGGCTGAAAGATATAGTTAGGAACATCTGATTTAAAAATAGTACTGGCTAGAGTAAAGAGCATCAGAATAAACGTTAAAGATAATGCATCTTCCTCACTTCAAAAATCCAGTGGATCATTGACCTACAAAAGACAACTGAGCTAGATAATACTGTATATTTTACTAACATCAATAATATGTGATTTAAAAACACTTCAAGTGAATGTGTCAATCAGAGCGACATGCGTATATGTTCGATGTATATTTTAAGACTGAGAGGAAAGCAGAATGAATATTTAATGGCATTCATGGGGTCGAATATGCGGGAGAGCACAACTACATCACTGCAGAGCACTTTGTGCGCGCGCGAGAGAGAGAGAGAGAATGTAAACTCTGCTGACATGTATCAACATGGAGATTTATTTTTGTCCGTGTCCAGCCTGAAACAAATCCCCCAAACACACACCCACACATGCTCACACACACCCAGCCATGCAGAACTTAACATACGTGCATACAGGCACTCAAACAGACACACACACACACAGGCCTAACAAAAGGGTCTGTCTGTACAAACAGACAGATTCAGGCTATATAAAGGTGCTAACTAACTCATTTTTGAAAACCTGGTCCACCTTACTCATCCTATTCACAGGCTAATTCACGTCACCATGTGAGCTCTTATCTTGAATTCAAAGTGTCAGAAGGGTAATCAAACATGCATTTGTCCAGAAGCATAAGTGCTTTGCAGGGGCACAAAGCGGGACTGCACTGCCATTCAGGGACACAAATGCAAAGGCGCAGAGCTTTTGTGCTGGGAAAAGCCTGACCCGACAGCTACTTTCCTTTCCACATCAGTCCAAAACCCTCATGACATCATCATCAACTAAGACAAGAAGAATGATACATGTGGACTAACTTTCCTCCAGAAATGACAGGTATACAGCAGTAATGGAACACAGGGGCTTTCTTTTTTTCCTTGATTTTCCAAACGGCTCCTCTATACACACACATATTTCTATACACACACACATAAACATATAGGGGATAATGTGACACTGAAGACTGGAATAATGGGTGCTGAAAATTCAGCTTAAATAAATTGTATATGTCAAATTATATTAAATTTTTTGATCAAACAGAGCCTTGATGAGCACAAGACAGTATAGTATAGTTAATTTATTATAAAATATTGAATTGTTTAATTTTTAAATTTGATTTATTTATTTTGCCTTTTATATTTACAGTGGCGAGAGTGTGCAACTGCACTAATAATTATATATAAATAAATGTAACAATATAAATTTAAAATAATTTTTAGAAATGGTGATTTCTAAAGATAATATTGATAATATAGATAATATTGCTGTGACAAAGACAAAGGTCCTTGCAAAGAAAGGTATTCATTTACTTGTTCATTTCTTACTGTAAATCTCTCTTTATGTAAATAAATACTTTTTACACAAAATATGCTCACTTGTCTTTATACTGTTAAAAACCTCTTCTAAAATCATTGAGTATTTCGTGATTTGTGAATCTCCTGAAACATGAAATTATTACGTCAAAATAAAAATGTTTAAAATATAAAATAATGAAAGAGTAAAACATTTTTTTTTTTTTTGCACTTTCTCTCCCTAAAACTGGGCCCCAGATTGAAAACCCCTGATGTAACGTACGGGAGCTCCGCCGAGGAAGAGGAATGGGAAGATGAACCATTTACTGCCCACACAACCCCAATGCACCTGAAACTACCTCATACATTGAAAGTAGGTGATATATTTATATCTGATCTATCCCTTACAATCCATTAACCTCTGTCAAACGATTAAAAATACATGCCTTTTGAACACTGGGTTGAGAAAGTGCAATGCGTTGCTTTTTGAGAGCTACTTTGCGGAAGAATAATATCTGGGGTAACAGCTAATGGAGCATAAATGATGCTGATGATGATGACAGTGATTCATCTGTGAAAAGTTTCTAAGCTTGATTGTAAGTGATAATTGTGTGCTATAAAACCAGAGGTCAGCATGTGTTTCCAGATGTTCTGGGCTAATTTGGCTCCTTAACTCTGTGGATATCCGGCGGCACCATGTGTTCATGTGTTCCTGCATGACCTCTCTGTGCCAGCAGGTTACAAAGGGCTGGAAATAGACTGATTGGGGAATCAGGGCTGTAAACTCCCACACTCTGGAGCTTGACGGACAACTTCTCTGTGGGGAAGAACGAGTGTGCTGGTTCTGTGCCCTCGGCTTGCGTCCACGGGTCAGTGAGCATGTCCGTGCAGAAGGGGAAATACATGATTCACTCAATCCAGCCTTCAGTTTACTCCCTTACTCATTAATTTACTCACACTCACAATCACATCGGCCCAATTCACTCTATTACTTTGCAAAAAAATGGCCCTCAAATTTAAAATAATATCATTTCTGCCATATCTGCCTCATGCACTTGAGAGCTAAACTGATATAATATATGATTTAATAATATAAACTTAAGGTTCAAAATAATGCCATTAGAGAACCTGTTTCTATACACTGTGAGACCCTTTGGAGAAAATCTTAAAAAAAATGGATCCTATACGCTCTTGTAAGACTGTCAACGTTCCATATGTTGTATATATTGAAATTCCTTTAATACCTATTATTGAGATATATAAGGTATCTTCAAAAGGCCATCTAGTGTTTCTCCAAATGTGGTTCTGACTTTCTAAAGACCAATATTAAATTTTTTTAAAAATTATCAGTATCAACCGATTTTGGATCTCGATATCATGTTAAGATGGATAAATGACAATTTGCAAATATTCAAGTAAAAATTACCGTCTCTGGTGAACAAATTTTTTAGGACAGCGGGGCAAGTGTTGATGACCACCTCCCCAAAATCTGCATGGTGCCAGCAAGAAATATTGTCCCACATCCCGCTGCAACCTGTAAGACATAGAAAACAAAATAAAAGCTCAAAACGTGGTGGAAAATGCGCTGAAAGAGCAGAACTTTCAACAAAAGTTACCGCAGCACTGCACATGAGAAACTTGACATGTGTTTGACAGGAATCTGGAAACGTTTAGGTTAAGATAAGATCCGCACTCATTTACCAATGTTCTTGAGAGTCTTTTATGAGTTGAGTGTTTCTGACCATTTTTTCTCTTTTAACCTACACACCACAAACACTGCATGGAACATGCAATTAGTTTGCCTTTCATTTAGCAGTAAAGGTACAACCCAAAAAAAAAAAAAAAAAACCCCAAAAAGGAGAAAGTCATTGAATCTCTTGAGACCGGCCCACCGGGACGGGACAAATTCCAGCATCTATGGTCAGATGAGTGTTTTGTGAAGGTCTGGACATAAATAGAAAGATGGTCAAAGAGGTTTGACAATGACATCACACCCCCATCAATCTTCATCTACAACTCCAAACACTGGCACAGAAAAGAGGGCATGTAGTTCGTTGTGCGTACTAAAGGGATATTTCAACAAAAAAAAAACAAAAAAATTAAATTCATTTACTCACCCTAATGTCTGTATGACTTTCTTTTGTCTTTGGAATATTATATAGCACTTGAACTTGAAATATAATGAATGAGTAATAGATTGTATAACAATTTAATGGCGTTTTTTGTCAATTTGGAGCTTGACGTGCCAATTGCTCAATCTGTATATAAGAAGAGTAACCAAAAGAAGCGACTCTTCTTTTAGTAACTTCCATTTTTCGTAAAAATTGTAATACATTTTTTTAAGATTCTTTCAGCTGCTCCCGACGACTCGACGAGCCTTGCATGGCTGACCCCGCCGTCGGTTTATGAATGGGTGAATGTGAGACAAATGTAAAGCGCTTTGGTGACCACTGGGATGCAGTCTATTTACCATTTCTTTGAAGAAGTCAAAAAACTGTAAAAACAATAATCTTCAAATATTTATTTAATTTTTGATCAAAAAGTATTATTTTCTTTTAAAAACAAATCTCACTGACCCTAAATCCTTTTAACAGTATTGTGTGTGTGTGTAAAAAAAAAAACCTTTAACAATAGAAGAGTGAGGCACACAGGTTTGGAACGGCTTGAGGGTGAGTAAATAATGACAGAATTTTCATTTTTAGGAACAAATCATTTAAACAGCTGCATCTTCTCTGAAACAGCTGGTGAGTTCTGAGGGAAAATAAGAAGTCTGAACTAAGAGAAAACAGGTCACTCACCAAGCATTGTTTAAGACACAGTAAACATTGCTTCTGATTGGTCAGCGCTCAGTCCACTGTGCCCTGTTATGAACCATCAGAAATGTGGGCTAGGAAATGTCCGCTTTTTTTGCAATCATCTCCAAAGGGACTCGTCACACATTTCACCCATTCTAATGGTCAAGGCCTGTGTATATTTATTGCCAAATAATTACCATTAATTGGAACATCTGTCCATTGATGGACACCATACAGCTGTCATCAAGGGAAACACAAACCAGTGTTGTTCCCACACTTCTGATTTTGTTCTAAAGTGAATCCAAAGCATGGAGAACAACCCAAAACCCCAACATGCAAAAATAAAGAACAGATTGTCAATGATTGCACATTGATTACACCGATTTAGGCTTTTTTTTTGTGTTTAAATGTAGATGTTTAACATTAGAATTGTCACATAAATAAACAAATGCCAAATATGGTCCCTGACGGTTATTAACCACGGGGTTATATGATTACGGCCAACGACCAGAGATGATACGAGCTGGGAAAATGCAGAAGAAATATTTAAAGGACCTTTGAAGCACAACTCAGCAACCTGAGTCATCACTAAAACATCTGGGATCGTTAAAGTTGTTTGTTCCAAACCTGTAAGACTTTGTTCCTCTTCGGAAACATAAATGAAATTAATCAAAAATAGTCCACTTTCACATCCTTGTTGTGTTTATTACAGTCATTTTACAGTGCACAAAAAGTATTCTTGTCGCTTCATAACATTAAGGTTAAACCACTGTAGTCTTATGGACTATTTTAACAATGTCTTCACTACCTTTCTGGGCTTTGAAAGTGGTATTAACGTTGCAGTCTATCAGAAAGCACTCTCGACCTTAATGTTATGAACAAAAAAATACTTTAATAATAAACACAACGAGGTTTTGAAAGTGGACTAGTGTGTGAGATGACTTTAGCCGTTTGTCTGATGATGTTTAATGTCCCTGACCACTCTGTAGTCCCATTTAGACACTTTTTCAAGACACATAAAAGCGAAAATTCATGAGTGGTGTACCATACCTCGTACCATACCTCACTGGTGTGTTTTATGTCATAGAATAAAACATTAAAATATCTTGAGCTTGTGTTTACCACAGACCTTATTTTTAAGGATTTAACCAAAATCCAGTTAAAAAAAAAACATTGATTTCAGGACGATGGAACTGGAATTCATTTTGGCCAACCAAAATATGTCATCCCTGGACTAATTTATCCAGAGACTATATAAATATCACATTCAACATTGACCTTAAAAGCTGGAGCCAAAAGCAACTCAACCACTATCAGCCAACAGTAAATGTGATTCTACATCTGCCAGAGCATTTCTACACACCAACAGAAAAACATTGAGACATTAACTGATTATGTAGGACAATCAATGTGGCGAGAGCTCATTCAGGTTTCTTTCACTGTAATGTTTGGTTTGTGGGGAACATGACACAAACACACATACCACTTTCATGTTACAATGTTTGCCTAGTGCAATGTAGTACTGGCCATTCAACAAATGCTGCAAGTGGATTTATAAGATGATGTAACATACGTGTGCGCATCATGCATACTCACTATTACCTTTGGTGTTTGCAGAAAAGTCTGCCAGTTCGCCCAAACATTCCTTCTCAGCCATCTGCAGCTCATACAGAAAGTGACAGTTTGCATGTCTCCCGCTGACCTTCAGGAGCAAAGGAAAGAAAATCAAATCTCAATGTCGTCATCAGAAGCAAAAAACATCTCAGTCAGTGTTGCTTTTGTTGTTTTTATTACGATTTTAAAGGGATACTCCACTTTTTTTAATTGGAAATAGGCTCTTTTTACCACTCCCCCGGAGTTAAACAGTTGGGTTTTACCGTTTTCGAATGCATTCAGCCGATTTTTTTTTTGATATTTAGAAGAATATCAGGAACCAGACAGTTTCTGGTCTCATTGACTTCCATAGTATATTTTTTTCCTACTATGGAAGTCAATGAGACAAGAAACTGTCTGGTTACTGATATTCTTCTAAATATCAGAAAATCGGCTGAATGGGTTAGAAAACGGTAAAACTCAACTGTTTAACTCTGGGGGAATTGTAAAATGAGCCTATTTCCAAAAAAGTGGAGTATCCCTTTAAACGATTTAGTAATTTAGCTGTGTGTTAGCTGTGTTTGAATGACTAAATAGTTTGAATTCTTTTTTATTTTAGCTTTAGGGGTCATTATGGGGTACGTTGTAACAATAAAATCTGCTATTAAACAGCCAATTATAGGTTTTCCCGCAATATTTAAACAGTAAAACATTTATGAACCAAAACAATACCAAACTATTTGTTTTTAACCAATTAATAATAAAAAAAAACTTAAATCTACTCAGTCATATATACAGTGTATTTTCAGTTTAAGTTATTACTTAACTAAATTATTATTAGAAATGTTGCAGATGTTTTGTTTTTTATTACTGTTTTAGCTTTAGTAAACTATAATAACCTGGTCTCAGTGACAATATATTTGCATAGACATGCTCATGGGAGCTGAATTGCTAACTCGGTTGAGACGGCTTGCTGGTGACATCATCTGAAATGACTGATCAACACAGTTGGATTCAAAACTAGCGTGATCAAAGAGCCGTCACAAAGCCTGTTGAACTGATGGACTAAAAATCCTCTATTATAAGAACTGTAATGATATCAAGGGAATTAACCAGAGTCACATGAAGTCTTCGGTTAAAGATCTCATTGGCTGCTCGGTCATGGGTAGTTTTTATTTTATACATGTGTGTGAAAATGCGACAAAATCATTCTGAAAGAACAGGCTGTTAGAATTTAAAATCAGAATTTTTAAAACACAAGCATTCACATCCAAAATCGTAAGGTCACCTTGTACGTCTTGCTTGTTTGCGCTGCGTGTGAACTCTTAGTCACTTTGGCTTTGGGTTTTTTAACCAAGTGTGCAGCATAGAGACAAATCAGAAAAGAGCATAAGCCTACACTTTAGGTCTGTCATTGCTCATCTCTTTCAAAATCTTCAGCTACATCTTTGACGAGAGTCCTCGGCTGAGCAGAGCTTTCCGTATCACAGCTAGAACGATTGCCACACAAGCTGATGATATGAGTGATTGTATCAGGATTATTCTGGATCTGCATGTGAACTGTCAGAGCAAACGCATGCTGGCTAGGATTAACTCAGGCTGAGAGCAATTACAGTCCAAAACAGATTTGACATTCTCACTTCTTTTTTTCTGCTGATTTCTCAGCTTCTACTGAGAGAGAATGGATTCGATATGTGCATGTGGATTACCAAAAGCATTACTAAAAATATCCAAATGAGCTTCTAGAGTGTTCCTTTTGCTCGTTTTATTTTAATGACATTTGTGAGAAAAGTGCATCACATGTATCCTGAGAGTGTGTTGTTCCGGTTTAGCAGACTGAGTCTCGACAGCGGTCGGTCACCAGGGCACATATCTGACTCATCCTTCTGCTTCATGGGAATTGACATGTTTTTCGAAAATAATTTGTTGGGAAACCGAAAAGCGGCTTTGTAGTTGAAAGGGGAGCATCTGGTGCAATAAACATGTAAAACGCTTCCACCTGAGAATGATGCTTTCTAAAAGTAAAATGTCAAAATGAGATGAACAGTTCAGATAATCAGATAAATGACACTTATCAGAGTTCTAAAGGATGTTTCAAGTTAATATGAGCAACTTTTATCTGAAAAGGTCATTTTTATAGTCAATACTGCTAGTTTATTATTATTATTTCAAGTTAAATTCTCTATTGATACTTTCACAACTGTTTAAAGGTTTCCTCACCAAATCTGCACTTATTTGTTCAAAAATACAGAAAAACATGTGAATATTATACAGTTTAAAAAAAAAATGTTTTTTCAGCATCATTACTCCAGTCTTAAGTGTCACATGATCCTTCTGAAATCTTTCTAATATGCTTGTTTTGCTGCTAAAGAAACATTTCTTATTACTATAAATATTATAAAAATGTTGTTCTGCTTAATATTTAGTTGATGAACAGAAATGGCAAAATAATAACATTAAATTGATTTATATACGTATATATGAAGAGTTCGGATGCAAAAGCCTCTAAATGCCATTTGAAATTTTCTTCTTTAATGATGATTTTTATCCAACTTGTAGATTTAAGTTCAGTAATTTCACTTAAATAACAATTAATAGGTAATTATCATTGCAATTTAAGTGAAATCACTGAACTTAAATATACAAGCTTGATAAAAATTATCATTCTAGAAGAAAATTTCAAATGGCACTTAGAGGCTTTTGCATCTGAACTCTTCATATATATATATATATATATATATATATATATATAAACATTTTTATTTGCAAATTTAATTTTATTTATTTGTGAGTTTTATATTTTTTTTTTTGTGAAGCTATTTACATTTTTTGTGGATCTTAATCTATTTATTTGTGAATTTGATATATTTTTGTGAATCTCTTTACATTTATTTGTGGATCATACTCTATTTATTTGGAATAATGCAACGATTCTCAATCCATTCTGCTACAACGGAGAAAAAAGAGGAGAGCCCTTGTTAGCACTGTAGCCACGAGTGTTTAAACCGTGCCTCCCCATATCTCATGAAATGTCTTCAAATACAGATTTATTTCTGGAACAACCCTGCATTTTTGCCTGCACTCTTCGCCCCAAACACTCAAAAGACATAAAACCTCCACAATGCTCCACTGTGTTTATCCTTTGTCTCCCATCGCGCCTATAATAAGTCATGCGATCTCAGTTGGTGGTGTCTGAGTTGACGTCACTTTCTTAATGACGTACGACTCGCATTTACTGGGGTATATCTTTGTCTGCTTACATGGCGCTCACAAATGCACGTATCTGATTCATATCTGATTTATTACCACATATGAGTGAGTCCTGAAAATCAGAATCCACAAGTTTTTTTCTTGCTTACACGTTCACCGGTCATATACGATCTGTGCCACATGAGAGGAAAAAAATCGGATTTGGGTCACTTGAACTGCATGCAGTGTGAATGGGGCCATAGAGAATCCAAAAATTGGACATTTTTTTACTCTTAAATTATATTATATCCCTTGTGATTTGCCCTGGTCTGTCTCATATATATATATTTATATATATATATGAAGAGTTCAGATGCAAAAGCCTCTAAATGCCATTTGAAATTTTCTTCTAAAATGACCATTTTTATCAAGCTTGTATATTTAAGTTCAGTAATTTCACTTAAATGACAATTAATAGGTAATCTTCATTGCCATTTAAGTGAAATCACTGAGCTTAAATATACAATCTTGATAAAAATGATCATTTTAGTAGAAAATTTCAAATGGCACTTACAGGCTTTTGCATCTGAACTCTTCATATATATACAGGCAGAGGTTGAAGTGGCAGTATATCCAGTGCATTTTCATCTTTAAATAAAAGTGATCTTCAATTTCAGTGTCATTAATGTCACTTAGTCCCAATATTCTGTTTGCAACACTCTGCTGAACAACTGTGCATATGTGACACACTTTCCTGCTCGCTCATGTTTAAATCCCACTGGAATAACTGCAACCAACTCATTTTCATAAGTTGTTTTAGGTCTACAGATGTATTTGAAGGTTATGGAGTAAAAATTTACTTTAAATGAAACATATTCGCTGGTCATTTGTTTTCACAGAAAACGATGACGAATCACAGCACAGATAGCTTCTGGTTAAAGAAGATTGCGGGTGGTTAGTGAATAAAATGCACTGAAATATTAGACAAAAGAGGTGTGATTGTCCAAGTTTAAACCTAAAATGATGAACATCATTACTATCTCTTCTATGGCTTTGCAATTTACTTTTGTGCTACTCTGTTTCTCTTCTGACACAGTCAAGATGATTTAATCTGCAAGAAGTGAATCTGGATTCTGGCAGTCCTTTACTGAACTCAAGTGGGTCAGCTGGAAAGCATGAAACTTTGAAAATGTCATCATCTGATTAAGTGAGAACGTGTGGTTTCATGCTTGCGGTGAAAAGCAGTTGTGCAACTGTTATCAGTCTTTAGGCCAACTTTCCATTTCTCACTCTTGAGCATTGCGAGAATAAGAAATGCATTTCAAGGTCAAAAGCTTTTACTGCTTTGTTTAAACAGTTGTGCTGTGCTCCACACAAAAAGCTGTTATTACTTCCATAAACAATGATATTAGACTTTTTTTCTGATTATTCAATGTATTTATTAGACTAGTAGAAAAATATCTTCTAGATTATTGTCAATTTTTGCCAAGCACAGGTTGAGGAAAAAGGTTAGACTAAAAGAAATATTTCTTTCTGACACTAAATTTTTCATCACCACAAAAGCTTGTCGCATAAATATGATACAATACCATCAAACCCCTGGAGGACAAAGAGACATTAAATGTTGCTGCATGAAATTGGTCAGGGATTGAATGGATTGAATTCTAATAGAGCACAACCACACACAACTTCCTCTCAGAGCTTTGATGGGATCTCTGTGTAATATGTCTTCAATATCTGAAGATACCTCTTGATCCACGGATTGAAAACCTAGTTTTAGGGGCTTTTGGCGGCAGATATTGCATGAGCTTTACAAATCAATGCAAATTTAAAAAGTAGTGTAAGTATATAAATATAAAGATTGCTGCACACAAAACAATTAAGTGAATGTGCATTCTCAATAATAATCCATGACAAAGACTGTAGAGTGGAAAACACATCAGTCATCTTGTATCGTAATGCCTAGAAGACAAACTACACAGATACATATATGGTACAATTGAACATTTTTGCAGCATATATACTAAGATTGAGTTTGTGTGTATCTGTGCCTCTGGGGACGCAGCCATATGGACAGAGTGTTACACTTTAATTAAGGTCATAAAGACATGCTCGCTGATCTCCAAGATAAGTAACTGATAAATGGACTTTTGAATAGATAAGCTTAGGCTTATTTATAATGAGATTAAAAACAGGGCTTGTAAACAATAGCTTATATAAGTTTATTTATGGTGCATCGCTTTTCCAGCAATATTTATCTTTGACATTGGTATTTACACTGAAAAAAAAATCCTATTTTTGATCAGTATCTTTTCCAGAAAACGATTAATTTAACTTAGAAATACAACTGCATAAGAGAAAGTATCTTGAATATTAGTGCATTTGTTATTTTGTGTATTTTCTAACAGCAATTTTTTGGTGTATCCAAAGCTTAAACTTTGTGTTTTTTTTTTTTTGGGGGGCTTTATAACTGTAAAAGTGCATTAGGAGACCATTGTTTGCATATCTTACATTTTTTGAGGAAAACTATTATAATTGTAGATGCGCAAAAAAAGCATATAGTTTTTTATTTGTCTGCAAACCACCAGCTGTACACGGCACAGCAAGAAATTGAGTAGAATCTTTTCGTGAAACCCCTTTAGGCGAAACACCTGAATCGCCACAGAAAGCCTGTTTAGAATAGCCCTGACCCACTTCTCTTTTTAGCATATTTAAAAGACTAATTGTAATTTAATTTAAATCTGTATAAGAGTGTCTAGTACAAGCAGAACTGAAAGCTGAATGTCTGAATGACTGAAGGTTAAGAGACTGAAGGTTGATGCAAAGTGAAGTTCAATAAACCAATAGAAATGAAGCACTTTTAACACTAATGGCTGGTATGCTCTCTAAATAACATTTTCTGAATTACCTCAGATTTTTAATTATTTATTTCTGTTATTTTTTTTTAAATCTGACTTTTTGCATTAAGAGGAGACTGCGGCTTTACACTTTTGAATATTTCTCAGGTAGGTTTATACTTTATAAACACATCATACTAAAAACAACAACTACTGATAACTTGGTGAATATTGAATATTTTTATCATTGGTACCAAAGAAGTTTATCTAACTCATGTTGTCCCCCCAATCTGACTTTAAACAGCCTATTTTAAGCGTTTTAAAACAATTACAAAGCACAAACTGATTCATGAAACAGTTAGTGTAAAATGTAGCCTATTTGTTATTGTTTTGATTTGATAGTAGCTGGCTTTGACATGGTTTCTGTCCAAGCTCATTTGTGGTCAGGTTGGTCTGTCCAAGCAGATTTCAATAATGGCTCAGCTGGCAGTCCAGCAGGTCTGAGATCAACCTGGTAGATCACCTTGCACCAATAACAAACCATCTATCATGTTCTTAAACCAGCTTGACCACCATAAATTGATATGCAAGTTGACAAAATTTAATCAGCATTCTGCATTCCCTGACTACCTTTCTAAATAACAGTAATTATAAGTGTATTGAGGCAAAAGTCATATAGTTAGCTACTGAGAATTGGACCGTAATGTGTGACCATAATTTGCATAAAACTATAAATATAGGCTAACTAAATACGTGACAATTGACAAACAAGTCATGAGGACAGTAGTTTTATTTTAAATATTCTATCATTATACAGTATCTTGTCTGGAACATGCTAGCGTGATTTTAATGTTGTTTACTAGTAACTGTAGCTAAATATGATAGTTTGGCGGAAACAATTCACATACATTGTGATGGATGGCAAGGGTTCGTGAAGACGGAAATGGTTTGAAACCAGTATACAAAACCACAACTAGATAAAACTCGCATATGATATGATTGGACTTTTCACTCTAAATCCCATATTTATTGAAATGCAGTTCTTTATGAAAACGTATTAAAACCCGCACACCTGAGGATGACAAACTCATAACTACCGGTACAGGTAGTTTACTTACCGAGTGCGCGTGCCACACTAAGAAAAGAGCCAAACAGTTCACGAGGTTCATTATTTCTTGCTGGTTTCAAAAATAATATCGCGTTAGAATAAATTCCAGCCAGTCCTCAGTATCAAGAGTGAGAAGTAATGCTTGCACAGAAGAAAACACGCCACTTGCTCCAAGATATCCGGTGAAAACAATCCTGAGCGCGCAAAATTGTGTGTGGAGTACAGGATGGATGAGCGCGCGAGTGCGCGTGCTGAGGGGAGGCTATGTGGTTGATAATGTTCCTCCTCCTCTCTAGTCTAGATCATCAGAAGCGCCACACATCTTGCCAGCACTTAATATTTTACTGGCATTCATTTCAAACACTTTGAGTGTTTATCTGCTTTGAGGTCACTAAAAATGTTGATGATTTTTCTGATTTTGGGCTAAGTAGGGCTATTTGTTACACTTTCTACTCCACTAAAAACAAATCTAAATATAGGTTTAGTTTTGAAAGTCAGTGTAGACACATATCTTAAATCACTGGCCACAAAAAAAAGTGATCGAACATTTCCACTGCCCAGGAAAAACTTTTGGGTCACTGAACAAATGTTGAGCTTTTGAGCCAACATGCCCCAATTTAAGTTGTCCCAATAGAACCAGCCTTTATTGGCTTTTCAGCAACTTTAACTAGTTGCCTAAATAATTGTGTGTAATAAAACACTTCATGAAAAATTACACAAACATCAAACCATTGTTTTAGTCAAGGAACATTGCATTTAATATTTAAAACACGTTCACTGCAAAAAAAAACTTTAATAATTTACATAGTTCAGATACCACAATATTTTTAGTTTCTGATGATTAAATCAATTTCCTTCATTGTATTATTAAAATATTTTTAATTTCAATGAACTTATTTTAAGGCAACCAGGTTACTTCATTTTTTAAGTTAAACCAACAATATCTTACAGTGTCTCATCAAGAAGTTATGACAACATGTGGTTTTACATTGCTTTAACTCATCAAAATAAAGCAATTTCTTTAAAAAAATTACAAGTTATACTAGATTCAACTGTTTTTTAAAAGTCAGTTTAATTTAATTTAAATTGAAATTACTGAAACATTATACTTAAAAATTTAAGGTAGCAACTTTTGTTTTAAGTGAACTTGCATCATTTATGAAAAATAACATGTTCTATCATAAAGACAGGCTTTAATATTATATTCTAATTTAAAACCAACATACAAAACCACTCATGGGGCAGATGCAGCAGTTACACCGGCCTATAAGAATGGCGCTGCTCTTACATTTGTGTAAGTGGACTTTTGACTAAACCATATAATCTTTAAGCTTAATGCTATGAAACTAAACAACATCTGGGTGTGAAAAAGCACAATTCAGTAGATCTCTGAAGAGAAGAACATTCGGGTAACAAGCAAATTAGTGTGAAAATAAGAAATCTCTCTGGGATTCTAACAGGCAGTGGAAGATGGATGCAATGGCAAGTTTACCATTCACTTAAGAAAATAATCTTCCTTCTGCCTCCTTAAAGAGGAAGTCTTGTGGGCGAATAAACTATTAAGACTCTTATCTATAATGTCAAACCACAAAAAATATAGCTCATAGATATCAAATAGAGTGACCACATACCAAAAAAAAAAAAAAAAATCCTTTCCAAGATCACGTGTAGTGTTGTGTCACGTATAGAGTAGAAACATTGCACCTTTTTGTGCCTATATATCTAGTTTTACCGTTTTTTGAATTCAATGTTCACACTGTAATTCTTTGTTTCACACTTTATGATACATTTTATGAGTAATCATTGATAAAACTGTCAAATACTTAAGTCAGTTGAGCAGAACAGCAGCTTTAGAAATAATAACTTTCTCAGCACTTTAGTGCCGTTCCGGGAAATCACTTCATTAAGCATTGTGTTCGTACTTGGTCAGTTTATGTGACTTTGTGAACATCATGTGATGGAGTTTGGACACAGATGTGGGAATAAGTAAATCAGAGGGCAGCCGTTGACTTTCAATTGCCTGAGCTGATGGTAAGAAGAGTGTATCAAACAGAAATATATGAAAAAAGAGCTGTGGCGAGGTATTTTAAAGTACCTATTGCATACCTTTACTTGAGGATGTTATAAAAAAAAAAAAAAAAAAAGACTATAGTGCGAGAATTTGCTCATTAATGTTGCATGGCTGGGATTTGACTTGACAGTGACCTCTTCTGGTTGTCCTAAGGCTAGTGTGACACATTATAATTCAGAATGTGTTGTTTCAAACGCAGTGCAAACCAGACATTAGCCAGACAGATAAAAACAATTTTAATCAGTATATTTTAAGATCTGTCAAACTACGCAGGATTGCATGCGGCTTGAATAAATGCATTTCCCTAAAATATGAGCAGCAAGTTTTATTTTGTAGTAAGCTGGATGTTTAAAGATGAACAGAAGACATTACTCTCACAAATCCAGATCATCTGCACTGGAACATTTCACAAAGGAAAATATTGCATGTCCATCCTCATTTATGGCTTTTGATTCTGGACTATGCTTTTACGTTCCCCCCAAAATGCACTTTGCGTCAGATGCGTATATTAAAATATAACCCAGGCGGCATTTCTCCTTCTATGGAGATTCAATGGTTTATCATCGTCCCCCTAAAAAAAAAAAAAAAAAAATGAAAAATGAATGCCTGTGCTGAAAGTTCCTACAGATAGTGGACTGATCCAGGACATGTCATTATGAAGGGATTCAGTTCAGACAGGAATCTGTAATCTGATATTGGACTAGTAGTCTCACATATTTCATGGGTTAGAGGGGGGGGGGGGGGGAATTAATATTTTGCTATTGTTATGTATACTCTGTTTTAAAGCTTTTGTTGAGAAAAAAAAATCAATTTCTGCTCACTTTAAAAGAAAAACAAAGGTTCCTCATTAGCATCAATGGTTTCATGAAGAAACTTTAACATTCAATCCACAAAAGCTTCTTTAAAGTGGATTAAAATGTTCTTCACACCAAGAAAAAAAGGTTATTTTAAGAACTGTTCACTGAAAAAATGTTCTTATATGGCATCGCTGTGAAAACCTTATTTTGGAACCTTTATTTTTAAAGGGTATATACCATATTACAGAAATATTAATATACTTATACTATATAATATTAATTAACTTATCCATTATGCATTATGCTTAGGCATCAACAATAAAAATGAGTCTTTACATAAGAAAATATGATTTATGTAGTGATGTATACACATGGAACACAATTATTTAGTGTCTTCTGAGTGTTCTCATTCCTGGCAAATTCTCTCTTTTAAAAGGGACATATAAGCAGCCTAATAGAAATAATGTCAAACATTTTGTCAACCGTTGAGATGTGTTAAGACTTTTTAATTTTTTGTTGTGATATTAAAGTGAGGGAAAATGTAACCACACAGAGATCCAAATAAATTTGGTCAAGCAAATGGTAAAACAACGGAATACTTTCCATTTCTAGGAAATTACCTGACTATGAGCACATAGTGGCACAGCTTTTAGAGGGACATGACTAATAAAAGTTCAGACTATACAAACACTGCACATCATTGTAACATACTATTTTAAATACCAAAACTCAAGTTGTTCTATTCATGTTAAGCAATGTAATATTAGTGCTTGACATACTGTATGCACATTGACAATAAAAACATAAAAGGAAAAGAAATTGGAAAAAGACTTTCACAAACAACTTTAAACCGACATGGGACAGGAAACATGAAGCATTAGTATATTCATCTTTTTATGGGTTGCAGACATTTTAGTGTCAGTCTATGTGTGTTTATTTAGCACCATCTGCTGGAGCTTCTTCTTAAAGGGATAGTTCACCACAAAATTCAAATTCTGTCTTCATTTACTCCCTCAAGTTGTATTAAACCGGTATGACTCGGGCAATGAGAATTATTTTGGGAAGATGTTCATCCTATTTACTCCACTCCAAATAAATAGCTCTTATAATACTGCATATTTAGAGCTGCAATTAAAGCCTTATTAGTTTTATTAGCATTACTTTAATAATTAACATTATTAACATTACATAAGAGAGTGAGGATAACACATATTTATGCATACAGTACCCTTCAATGCGAAGGTTGAAGTAAAACTTATTTTAATTATGAACTTATTTCTAATATTAAAAAAGTAATAATTAGTTGACACATTTAGCAAAATTATAAGTATTCATTATTCTATTATTCTAGTCTATAGTCGTTAGACTTGGAAAAAATATATATTTTCTTTAATATATAGGAAATGTATGTTTATCAACAACGACAAACCCATATTTGTTCCCATATAGCCAGTCCTGATATTCTGCAGGCTAAATTTGCAACCATGTTACTTGCAACTTACTTGTTTTTTTAATTTAATGTATCATTTGTTTAATGTATCTTTGTTGCAGGAAACAAAACAAAAAAATGGTTTATGTATTCAGACATGTTCTATACTAACAGTAACAATTAACAAACTTAATATAAACTGAATTGAAAAAAAAAATGAAACAGCTCATTTAATATTTGATGTTCCAGCAACGTCTCAAAGCGTATAATATTGCAGAATCATAATAATAAATGCATGCATTTTTTAGATGATGTGCTCGTCGAATCTAAAAGAGGTCAGATGAATCATTACCAACAATAAAAGTTAAGTTTTACTTGGAATTTACATTTATAAATACTTAAACTAGTAAAATAAGGCCTGGTTTCACACACAGGGCTTTGACAAAACCAGGATCAGGTCTTAGTTTTAATTAGGACATTTAAGTAGCTTTTAAAAACGTGCCTTGGTGTGCATCTTGAGACAAAACAATGGCACTGACACATTTTGCGCACTGACGCATCTGCAAGTTGCTTTCAGTTAAAACAGCTCAAACATGCATTTAGATTGGGACTAGGCTTAAGCCTTGTCTGTGAAACCGGGGGAAAATGTACTATTAAAGTGCAAAAAGCTTGAAGGTGAGACGTGCAAAGTAAAGAGCGCAACTCCTGCGTCCGCCACTAGAGTCCTCCCACAGCCTGTACTGTGTGTTTACCCCCTCCGAGCTCTCAACTGTGGCCGGGCTCCTCCAACCAACCACAATTCTGACATTTAACTCCGGAAACACAAATGTAACCAGCGCTGCGTTACATCCTAAAGCGCGACTGAACGGCGAGGCGTTTGATCAGCTGTCGGACAGCGGTAAGTAAGCGCATGAACCGGCTCGATTTCATAACATTCACGGCATAGAAGAACAAAAAAATCCACTCCCAACTGGTTGGT